ACAGGGCCATGGTTTCCATCTGAATTGCTCCACCTATAGTGTTGGGGTCTTCTTTTCCTACTGCTTTTCACTTTAGTAAGTGTTACTGTATTTGTAAGTGGCATCCTATTTTTAGTTTGTCTAGCTGAATATCTGAATTTCAATGGATTCATAATCAATCACAATAAAACAATTTTAAAATGAAAAACTGAAGCAAGTACTCTTTTCTTCTTTCACGTTCTCTTGTTGGGATGGCTCCAGGGCTTTCCTTTCATGGCAGAAATAACAGCACATTGTGTGTTGCCATCATTATTATTGAGTATCTGATTGGGAGCATTTTAGATGACAAGGACAATTTTAGATGACAAGGACAATTTCTTTAACTAAACATATGTGGAATCCAAAAAACAATCATGCATTTTCCACCTAATTTATTAAACTCTGGAAAGAAAGGGGAGAACTACTTTCTCCAGGACATTCTTCCTGTTAGTAAACTTGACATTGGTTTGATTTAAAAACCAGCACCCTCTAGTGGTACAGCCTCAAGTATCAGTATGATGGAGCAACTACTTTCCCCCCACTTCTGTTCTAACATTATAAATAACATTTTCTTTCTGTTATCTCATTGGGTACACACAAGGAAATTTTGAGCAGCCAAACTTTAATCAGGAATATATATTTCAGATTATTATGACTGTGCCAAGAGGATTGATGAAAAAGTGCCCCCTATAGGATGATTTACACAGTAGGGAAAGAAAAGTCTGAGTCTAACCCTGCAAAAGTCTTCCAGCATTGATTCAAAATTATAGTTCAGCTAACATAGGGAAAGAAAAGTCTGATTTTAACCCTGCATATGAAGTGTTAAGGATGACAACATCGTGTTTGGCCATTATATGAACATAGTGACTTAAAAAGTGATGCCTGACTTTTCTTTTTCCTCTTCATCTATACCCATTTTTCCTTTTATATTATCCACACATGATAAATTTTCAGGCAGGAAATCCTCCTTGTTACTCCTCTTGTATAAACTGCACTGGAAGCCTTTTTGCCCAAAGAGTAGATCAAATGTTTTAACCAATTAAATGAAACCTATTTAAAATTATATATTTATTTTAAAATATTTTAGCAATTTTAATATTTTAAATAAATGTACAATTTTAAATAGCTTTCATTTAATTCATTAAAATTAAATTAAATTAAAACAAATTTAAACAAATACAATATACAATTTTAAATAAATGTGAAAAAACCCTCCAATTAATGATGGTGGGATTTATTTTTGAATAAATTTGATTATGTTTAAGAATACAACATAAATTATACTGAAAGCAATGGGACCTTGTGCTTAACAATGAAACTCTATTCCAATGAAAACTGACAGAGATTAACTTTTGCCAGACTCTCCCCTTTATGTGGAGGTAGCATCCAGACTCTACTGAAATAAGTTGTGCCTTCACCAAAATGGGCAAAGACTTTGTTATTCAAGCAGGCCTCCAACTGCTGATTGTGTTACAGTCTGGGGTTTTAAAATTGATGTGCTGGACCTTCTGATATTTTACTTATTTTTATGAATATTGTGGAGTTTAAAATTGTTTTAATTGCTGTTTTAATTGTATAATTAATGTAATTCATATTTCATTATGTATAATTATCAAGTTTTGATTGGAATATTTTAAAATTTATGTTGGAAGCCTCCTTGCATTATTTCCTGGGGCAACATCTAAATCAAATCAATAAATAACAACCCTGTGATTACTAGGAAGATGACCAAAAACATTGCAACAATTAGTTGAGAAATCCACAATGCAATTGATAATCTGATTGTAGAGGACAGGGGTTCAGACAACACAAAGAATACCTGAAAGAAGCAGTGGTGCCAGGGAGAACCCCAACACACACATGCACACTGGTGACACAGCTACATTTACATGATGGAGAGTGAAGCAATTGCCTCAGGCAGAGGTTGTCCACCTGCCCAGCTGTTCCTCTGGTGCCACCAGAGTTCCCCACTGTTAGTGAATGGAGATGTGTAGGCCACATAACCTGTCCTGGGCCCCTTACACAATCTTGTTGCCTCAAGTGTACTGGTGGTAAGCTTCAACTGCCTGGCATCTGAAGTGAAGAGGGGCCACCATCTTATCCTTCTCCTTCTCAGACAGCAAAATGTCTTGGGTTGATCCTGCCCAGTAAACACATCCTTGAGAAGAGGTTCTATATGCACATCAGTGTATGGAATTCAATGAGATATGGCCATGTTACTCTGTAGAATCAGTATGTAGAGAGATCTTGTAGCATCTTTTTAGATAAACTGAAAGAAAGATGCATTTGGTATCTCTGAGGAAGTAGACTTAAGTCTACGAAACTTCATGCTACCAACTTCTCAGTTAGTCTCAAAGGTACTACAAGATTTCTCTACATATCAATGTACAGAGTATAAGATCCATTATGCAAAGGGGATTCTGACTCAGTTACTTGATCATCTATGCAGGATTTCTCTCATGTTTTGGACAATGAGGCAGGCATGGCAACCAGTCATATGGAGGGCAGGGATTGCTAACCTATGCAGCCATGCAACACTCCTCATAATTTCCTAGCATGTATAGGACAGTCATTTGAAGCCCCTAATGTATCATCTGATTTAGTCCATTTATCCTAATCTCTTTGTCCATTTTTATGTAAATGAGAGGAAAAAACAAAAATATTATGAAATAAATTGGTCCACGAATATTAAGATATGAATTTGAAATTTCAGAACTGTGAATTTCACTGTGACCTAAGGTCCTTCCAGAGGACCTCACCAGTGTATTTGTTCCTTACTGAAAAAGAAAGTAATGATCACATCTGGAATTAGATAATGCAATAACCATCTTGCTTGAAGCTAAGCTGGAAGGGTTCACTTGGTGCATATTGTTTCGCAAAGCTTTACTTTGTATTTTCCACACTTTCCACCCAAGGAGACAAAGTCATAAAGGGGAAAAAACAGGTTAAGAGTGAGATTTAGAAGGGGCAAACATTTCTGTCATCAGTGCCCTGAACTACATTAGCTCTATTGTTTGACAGCACAGACCCTGGAGAAAGGCCCCTAGAGGTTAGCCATTTAGCTGTTTTTTCTCTTTTGTTCTGCTTGAAGGTTCAAAGCCTTATGATCTTTTCAAAGTTGTGTCAGCAGAGCAGAGCACTGCCTGTTTTTGAAAGCTCCAGGCACTAATGATGGGATGGAGGGATGGATGAAGTAAATGCTTTTAACAGACACCTCATGATGAGCAATTATTTGGGAGAAAGACCAGGGCTCAGGCATGTCTTCTGATATTGCTCTTTTTGCCCCCTCCTTTCAAAGGGAAGTCCATTATCTTGTACAAGGGACAACACTACACAGTTCAGTGTTGTTTTTTCTAACCCAGATGCACTTATATGGCATTGCAGCAACAGTGCATGCAAAGTTTTACAAAACAAATTTCCCAAATAAAACTCTTATGCATCAATTCTAAAGATACTTGGTTGGAAATACAAGGATGAGGGTGAGCCCTCACTCTTGATTTCTTTGTGGTTCTCTGAACCCTACTGTATTTTCTTGTTCATTTTTTCCATCAGATTACAGGACTTTCTGTTTTAAAAACTTTCTGCACTGAAATCTTTACTCTGTTTGTGTACATATTTCTTCCAATTTATTTATGTATGTTTGTTGTTGCTGTTATGTACCTTCAAACCAATTCCAACCCTATCGTAGGGTTTTTGGAGGTTTGCATTTGCCTTCCTCTTAGGCTGAGAAAATATGACTAGCCCATAGTCACTCAGTAGGTTCCTATGGCTTAAATGTGGATTCAAAGTCCAGTCTCCCAAGAGTCCTAGCCCAAACCTCAGACCGGTAGGAAAGTGGATTTGTGTAGGAATGGAAGGAGAGATCGATGTGTAATATCTATCTCTCCTTCCTTCCACTCT